GCTGCAGCTGGGTTCGCGTGGAGCGCTGCATCGCAAGCTGAGGAGGCTGGAGCAAGAGTCTGCCAGGCAGGAGCTACAGATCCAGAGCTTTGAGAGTGACCTTGCCGAGATCCGCGCTGACAAGCACAACTTGGAGACCATTCTGAGCAGCCTACCAGAGCATTGTGCCAGCTAGACCCTGGCACACTCTCCCCACCTTGCTGTTTCCTGCCCATGCCCCATAGATGTCCCAGGTCTCCCTGCTGTGTGCTCATGTGAATGACCACACTCACTTGCTGGTGTGAGTAGCCCTGTGTGCAGCCCTCAGTGTGTGTCCCCTGCATACACATCAGCATGCGGCACCCCAGCATCAGTAAGAGGCACATATGCATTCGTTTATGTGTGGGCATGTGTGTGTGTGTGTGTGTGTGTGTGTGTGTATGATGCACTTGTGTATTCAGGACCAACTATGCATACACACACATGACAGTTCAGAGCTGTCAAGAGGTAGTCATGAGCTTGGACACACTTTGCATCCTGGGTGAGTCCTGGTATGAGAAATTCCCTGACATATCTACAACCCTGCCTCCAGAGAGTGGAGCTCAGGCAGGGGTGGCACCTCCAAGGCTGAGAGGTCTTGAGAAGGCAAGTCCCACACTCACGTTACAGAACTGGCCCTGGGCCTACTATGCCCCCACATTGCCCACTGGTCACCCAGCAGCTCTAAGAACTGAGGTGCCAGGCGGATCAAGAAATGCCATGATTCTCAGAAGTGGCATCCAAGGCCATGCTGTGGCTTTGGAGGCCCACAGGGCAAGGCACAGATGTCATTGTCTTTTGTAGACTCTTCCCTCCAGGGATCTGGATCTGCAGCAGACTCACTGAGGGAAGTGCCTACCTGGACCCATGCCCTGTCTGTCCCCTGATCTACCTGAAGAACCAGGGTCTGGGTCATGAGGCCTCAAGCAGGCACTAGGAACGGCCCTTTGTGCCCTGCTGACCTGGTTAGCCTTTGGTTGACACATCTCAAACCTGTGCCGTGGCCCCACCTGTCACGAAGGATGCCACAGGGGTGTGGAAGCCATTCAAGGTCTGCTGCCCATGGCTGCCTCTGCCCAGGAATCCCTGGCATTTCTTCCTGCTGTTCCCCCTCTTTTTCTGGGCCTTCTTTTAGTGCACAGCAGGGTCTGGGCACTGGGATAACAGCCACCTTTGCAAGCCCTGTCCCTTGCCCAGGTCCCAGAGGAGCTGATGGTGATGTGAACCGATTCTGATTATGCAGAAATAAAGGGCCGTTTTCTGAGTCCGGTGTTGTGTCTTTGATCGGCCAGTGCTGGTGGGCAGCCAGGGCCTGCTGTGGGCATGAACAGAGCACCTCTTGTGGCTGGCCTGCAAGTAGGTAGAGCCTACGTTTGTGATCCCAACATGTGGGAAGGAAGTTGGCAGAACGGGGCTCATGCCGTGCCAGGCTCTGTCATGGCAGGCTTTGCAGGGCCATGTGACCACCTCCTTTCCTCTCGGACCCAGGGCCTTTCAGACAAAGGCTCGGGTCAGGGGAGAGTTGGCCTGCAAAGAGGTCTTCAACGGATTCTTGCTTCAGGGTGGAAGGAGACACTGAGGCAGGAAACTGAACTTAAAACCGTCCAGTAGCACTTCAAGGAGCAAGAAAGGACACCATTAAGCGGAAGGAGGGCTTGGGTCTGGGACTAGAAGGGTGGAGAGACTGAGGAGAGAATGTTCCAGATAAGAGGGTGGGTAGCAGCCAGGGTTACAGGGTAGGGACCTGGCCAGAACAGGTCATTGCAAACCTAGGTTAGGGCAGGTTGTAAAGCACACTCTAGTCTACCAAGGCTTTTGGCCACAAAGCCAAACCGATTCCCAGATTAGCTTCAACAGGAAAGCAGAGGTCACCGGAAGGGTGATTTGGAATCGATGGCTAGGAAAGGCTGCCAGGGTACAGGTAAGTCTGGAGACTGGAACCTGGGGCTGCTGCAGTGGGCAGCTTCTTTCTCCTGCCCCCTTCGTTGGTCCCGCCTCTGTTTCCATGTTTGCTTAGGTCTTGCCTCTGCAAGTTAGCTTTTCTTGTCTTCCTTTCTTTTTCTTTTTCTTTTGTTTTTTGAGATGGGGTTTCTCCGTGTAGTTCTGGCTGTCCTGGAACTCTCTCTATAGATCACGCTGGCCTCAAACTCAGAGATCCGCCTGCCTCTGCCTCCCGTATACTAGGATTAAAGGTGGTCGCCACTACTGCACGGTGAACACCACTGTCTTTCTTTTTTTTTTTTTTGGTTTTTTGAGACAGGGTTTCTCTGTGTAGCCACTGTCTTTCTTGAACCTGGTGGATGATGATACTGTACAGCTTCCCCCTCCCCAAAGCCCTGGACTCGCATGTCATCAGATCTTGATTTTGATTTTGATAACTTATTCATTTTTATTTTATATGTATGTGTGTTTAGCCTGCATGCATGTCTAGGAACCATATGCATGCTTCGGATCCTCTGGAATTGAAGTTATAGACAGTTGTTAGCTTCCATGTGGTTGCTGGGAACCAAACCCAAGTGGACAAATAGACAGTTCTTTTGGGCTGCTGAGCCATCACTCCAGCCCCAGGTCAAATGTTTGAGTGGTCAGGTCCCCAGCATGGTCAAAATAACAGGGACTCCTGGACCAAGGCTTTGTGATGAGACATTCCCTACACCTCCCTCCTGGAGTGAGGGGGGTGGGGTGAGGCCAGTGTTCAGAGGAGAGGCACATTCCTCCAGAGAGAACCTTAACGTCAGGGTGAAGGTAAGGCTGATGTGGTGGGTCTTTAAAACTGGGTGAGACTGACTTGGTGAGTTGCCAGGGTCGGGGTAGAAAGGCTGAAGATAGGCGATTGGGTGAATAGGCTCTGGGGTATGTGATGCCAAGGAAACAGGGTTCTAAAACAAACGTTGGGACAGGATCTGACATTCCTCTGGCCTTAACCCATCTGTCCACTGATAAACGTTCAGCCCCTACCCATTTGAGCCATGATACTCAGCAAAACTCAGTCCCAACGTCCCCAGTGGGCAGAGACCAGGCTTCCTCTCCATTCCTGGGTGACAAGTGTCAGGTCTGACATGTGACTCATGCAGTATGGTCATGCCTGGTGTATGCAGAACCACGGGAAGGCTCAGAGGTGGGGCTGCTTATGACTGAGTGGAATGCAGCAGCGGCTGAACATCTGGCTAACCAGGCAGTCGGCCGAGCAGGAGAACTTGGGGTGGCCCCTGCCCTGTCCATGCAACGACCTCTGAGGTTAAAATGTTCCATCCTGCAGGGGAGCCCCTAAAGCACCAAGGTAAACAACCAAAAACAAAAGCTTTAAGAACCCCCTGAAACTGACTGGATTCACTAGGTCCCTCCCTACCAGGGTAAGCAGAGCTGCAAGGAAGTTTCTCAAAGAGGAAGAGCTGCCTGAAGAGGTTAGACCGGCTGAGGTGCCGGGGAAGGACACTGTCCATGCAACCTTGTGGAGCTGTCTGCAGTGTGTGCCATGTTTTCCAGGGTCCCAGCTTTGGGACGGTCATCCATGCTCCAGTGGGCTTCTGTGGTGCAGCTGTCTGTGGGACATTTCTGCTCCTGTAATGACCCTTCACCCACATTCCTGTAAGTGACCCCAATAAAACGCCTCGGTTCACCAAGCTGGACTCTGGTGCTATCCCTACTTCGATCTGTCCTAGGTTCCCTAACTGTGGTGAGTAGGTGCAGGGTAGGGCACATGTGTTACATCTCCCCAGGAAAAGTTTTGACACACAACAACAGCCACCCAATTACCTGGGGTGATAGACAGCGTGGGACTGACCAATGAGTGCCCTGTGCTAAGTCCAGTTCCTGCCCGAGCTTTTTTTTTTTTTTTCTGTGTAGCTTTGGAGCCTGTCCTGGAACTCACTCTGTAGACCAGGCTGGCCTCGAACTCACAGAGATCCGCCTGCCTCTGCCTCCCAAGTGCTGGGATTAAAGGTGTGTGCCACTACCGCCCAGCCCTGTCTGAGCTTTAAGCGGGAACACTGCCATACAGGCTTTGCATTCCCAAGCCCCTGACAGCCTTACATCTACACTGCACCCCTGCTCCTGTTTCCACTCTTCTGCTCAGTAGGGAGCTTGGGACGAATGCATGGGCAGAGGGAGGTAATGTAGGAGCAAGGGTCCAGGCCCTCCTGACGTTTTTGCTCACCTTGGCCCCATTTCATTCTGTCTGGCCCCTCCCTGTGTGAGCCTGACTATTCTCCCCTGAAAAAGGACAATCATCTGGTTCCAGGACCCCCTTCTAAGGAGTCTAAACCCGAGACAAATCCAGGGAAGAGGAATTCCTGGATCCAGTCCCCAGAGACATACCAGAGGCGGTGATGTCTCTTTCCCCTGGCCAAGACAATCGATCTGTGCCTGTGTCCACAATTTAACAATTCCACGAGACCCTTTCTCTAGAAGATCGATTGGACACTAGAATTCATGACCTCTTTCTTTACAAGTCTCCAGATCTTGCATCCACAGCCTGTCTTCATCTGGAATCACTGGCTGCTTTCTTTCTCACCCTAGAGGACTTGTGTCCCAGGCTTCAGCTTCCAGATTTTTCTTTCAAATAGGCAAACCCATCCTGTTCCATCCTGTTTCATAGGTTGGGGGATGAAATGGCACACACAGAGGCAAGTGTCAGGCAACCGTGAGCACCCAACAAAGTCTTTATTAACAACACGTATTTATCTAATTGATTTAATTGGTGTCGTAGTGGCACAACCGGGCAAAGGCGACAGTAAGGTGACAACCTCTATTGGCACTTGATCCTCTCAACCAGCTTTGCGAACTTCTCACTGAGTTGTGACATTGTCTCTTCTGGCGGACGGGGAGAGATGGCTGTTGTGCATTTTCCGCGTCCTCCAGCAGAGGGGCGGCGGCGGGCTAGGCGTCCAGCAAAACAGCCGCTTTGATGCCCTGGGCGTGCGCGGCCGCGGGGAGGGGCGCGGGAGGCGGGCCGCCGGCGGGGCGGGGTGTGTCCGGCCGCGCGGTCCCTCCGCCCCTGGGTCCCGTCGCCACACGCCGCCGAAACTCTGGACCAGGCGCGCTCTCCTCCCCGTCGTCCCTCTCCTTGGCCGGAGTCAGGCGCACACTATGTCGGTCGCGGTCAGCAACAGGTTCCAAGGTAGGCGCCTGCTCTCCACGCGCTGTCCCGCGCCCGGCGTCCCCGGGTTGTCACCTGTGCGCGCGGCGCGGCATGCGCGGGAACTCGGAGGGGGCGCGTGGCCCGGGAGGTCGCCTCGCTTCCCCGCCGCCTCTTTGTCTCCCGCAGGAGGGAAGGCGTTCGGCTTGCTCAAAGCTCGGCAGGAGAGGAGGCTGGCGGAGATCAACCGGGTAAGCCGCGCCACCGCGGGGGACAGCGTGCGGGTTCCTTGTGCCCCAGTGTGCCACCCCATCCCCCAGACAAAATCAGCCCCTTCCTCCCCCTGGCCTTCCCCAATTGCATCTCGGGCCCCTGCCGGGTGGCCTCCGACTCCAGGTAAGTCCACTCCACCCCTTAGCTCGCTGCCTGGCCGTCTCCGGTTGCAAGTTGTAACTCTCTGTACCAGGGAGGTGGGGCTGGTGAAGGAGCCCGGTGCCGGCGGGCAGGGGCTTCCCGGGAGCCCGCTGGGACCACCTAAAGATTTTGGCGCCAGAAGGGACCCCTGGGCCAGTGCTGTCTCCATGGACCACAGAATTTAACACTAGGGGTTGGCTGGCAGATGCTGGCATTTCCCTGTCCCACATCCAACTCCAACACACAGCTTTTCACCAGCTTTTAGAAAAGTTGCCCGAGGGACTGCTTTTTTTTTTGAACCGACCGGGGAAGTTCTAGAGAGAAATCCTTCCGCTGCTGCCAGGCACACAATAGCAGCTCCGTACGTTTGCTACTGAGCGTGTAGATCCCAGGAGATAAGGAAAGGTGTCAGGGCCTCCTGGATTGGCAAAGCACGGAGGTGGCACAGCCTCCTTTACGGTTCCCAGGATCCGGGTTCAGAAATGACTAGTGTCTTCAGTAAGGGCTCCTCACCTCTCGCGGGGGCACTTTGTGGGCTCAGTAAGGCAAGGAGCCGGCATGGTCTGGGGTCTAACTCTAGGGAGACACCCCATGAGGGTATTAGATCTTGCTCTGTCTCTGTGTGTCTGTGTCTGTGTCTGTGTCTGTCTGTCTGTCTGTCTGTCTGTCTGTCTGTCTGTCTCTCTCTCTCTCTCTCTCTCTCTCTCTCTGTCTGTCTGTCTCTCTCTCTCCTGTACTGGAGACTGAACTCAGGACCTTCTCCATGCTAGGCCAGCACTCTGCCATTGAGTTATTAATATATAGGAGGCAGAAGTAGCCCACTGACACAAGGTTAGACATTTCCCCTTATTTGCCCCTTTGGTCTCTGGATACTCAGAGGGACAAGCTCAGGGTCCCTGGTGGGGAGCTGGGTCAGCACCCTGGAGGTCATTGGAGATGTGGGGGCTGTGGTCTCGTTGCCATGTTTCCTTCCTATTCCTTTATTTCCTTACTGCCTAGACAGAGCTGGGCTGGGTCGGGCCTGTGGGCTTCTGGAAGGTCCCTCAGCACCACCCCAGCCTTGGCTGCTTTTGTTTCTGGACAGAAACCTGGGCCTGTGACCTCATACAGTCCCCTGGGCCGCTTAATTAGGCAGGTTCTGAGCTAGTTGACTCCACCCATAGGCAAGAGGACCCTAAGCCAGGGACCGCTGGAGATGGGCATCAGGTGACCTTAGAGGCGTCTAAAGAGTGAGACCTTGGGACTTTCTGTGCTGACCCCACCCTTGGGGTTACAGATGAAGGCTTGGGATGGGGTAGGATGGGGCGGGCCTGTGGCTGTTGGGCTGGTTTTTGACTGTACTGGCACTGTAGAAAGTGGACCGGTGGGAGCTGCGATCTGACCACGCCAGGACTTCCAACGCCTGGAGAGGGTCAGCATCTGAGCCATTCCACACGGGAGCCACGGCCACAGCTTGCAACCTAGTGTCTTTGCTGCAGGATGCCGTTTTCAGATCTTCCACATGCGCCTGGGCACTGTGGGCTGTAGTGTAATCCAGAGTGTGGGTCCCTGGAGGATTATGCTAGGTGGCTGAGTTACTCCCACATTACAGCAGGCCAAGGTGACCACGCTCGAGTCAGAGCCAGGAGGCAGGCTGCCAAGCACTGGCTCTGTGACGTTCAGCAAGCTGCTTCACCTCTCTGAGCCTCCTTTGCCAGCAAGAGATAGGAGTAGTGATTTTCCCCCAGGCAGATGATGTCTGTGAAGTGCACAGAGTTTGCTGCTGTGAGCATCATCCTTTGTGTGAAGTCTTCAGGTACAGGGAGTGGGCATGCAGTTATGTTGGGAGCATACCCGCTGCTCCCTCTCCCCTGCAGTGGGAACAGTGGGCCCACCCCTTTTGAACCCCTGCAACAGTCAGTGGAGAAGGATAGACTCGAGTTTGGGGTGGCTCTGCTTGAGGGTCCCAGTCATGGCCATGGCTTCAATGAAGTGTCCTCAGAATACAACATTCCGGAAAGCTGTGTTGACAGTCAGATTGTCTTCCACTAGCGAACACCTTCTCTGCCCTACTGGTGAGGACTGGGGCGCCGAGCTGGGCTGTGCCGAGCTGGACTGCACTGAGCTGGGCTGCGCTGAGCTGGGCTGCACCGAGCTGGGCTGCACCGAGCTGGGCTGCACCGAGCTGGGCTGCGCCGAGCTGGGCTGCGCTGAGCGGTGCCTCTTGGCCCCATGTAAGCAGGAACGCATACAGCATGACTTGGTGACTCATGACATGGGGGTTGTGTGACCAGCTGTTGTTGCCCATGAGCATGGGCACCACCAGCTGCTGTCTGGGCAGAGCCCAGCTCTAAGGAGACTTTCTGGACCAATCCTCCAGTTTCCCATAGGGCCTTTCCCCATCCCTGGGTGGCTGTTTGTGTGCAACAAGATCGCTCAGTCTTAGCAATTGTTATCACAGGGAGTCAAGCGTCAAAGTCTAGCAGTCTGGTGGGTCTAGGGAACACTGAGGGGGCACGGAGCGACACATAATACAGCTTTTTAGGGGTTCACTTTAGTTTTTCTTTAAAAAGTATTTTTGCAGGGTGGTGATGGCACACACCTTTAATACCAGCACTTGGGAAGCAGAGGTAGGCGGATCTCTGAGTTGGAGGCCAGCCTGGTCTACAGAGTGAGTTCCAGGACAGCCACAGCTACACAGAGAAAACTTGTCTTGAATAAAAACAATAACAAAAAATATTTTTAAAATTTCGTTAACTTATTAGTGTATATGTAAGTGTGTGCAGCATACATACCACAGTCTGTGTCTGAAGGCCAAAGGACAGCTTGGAGGAGTCGGTTCTCTCCTCCATGTGGGTCCCAGGGATCGAGCTCGGGTCGTCAGGCTTAGCAGCAAGCCCCTTTACCCACTGAGCCATCTCGAGATCCCCATTTTGGTTTCTACCGTCCTTTTTCGGGTTCCTTGGCGTGTGTGTGCTGGCGCTGCACCAGGCATGTTGACTACTCTTAACACTGTGTGCTGTGGGTGCTATCATTCCCATTTTATGACTTCCCGGCTCAGAGAAGTTGACTTAATTGCCTGAGATTAAACAGCCACAGTTTAGCCAGAGGTGCTGGTGTTTGCCTGTCATCAAAACAGCTGGGAGGCGCGAGCAGGAGGGTTGAGTCGCAGGCCAGCCTGGGGTACAGCGGGAGACCCTGTCTCAAACAAAACAGAAACAGCCACAGTGGAGCCCAGACTTTATAGATATTATTTGCTTCAGCTCTGCCTCACCGACCCCCTTTTGTGGATACCCAGCCCCCTTCCACACTGTGTGTGTACATGTCAGCACTACTGGATCAAGCTGGACCAGGCAAGTGCCTCCTACTCCCTCCACATAGCTGGCATTCCCCACGCCCTGATGGCATGGTAGGTGACCCCAGGCCAGCCAGGCCCAGCCTTATATGGCAATGGGAGAAATTTCCTGTCTTCCCATAGGAACCTAGAGACGCCGTGGGGCTGGGCTGGCTGCCCCTTGGAGTGTCTGTGCACTGGGGATGATCTGGGGGAGCTGTTGGTGGGGAGGCTACAGCTGAGCCTGTGATTGGCCAGGATCTTTGAACACACATGAGGATATGAGTGTGGCAATGTTCCATGCCTGGTGTTCACCATGCGTCAGCTCAGCTCTGCCTCAGTGGAGTACTCCGTCACGCGCGTGTCGGGTGTGAAGAGAGAAGAACTGTGAACGTTCCTCTGGGGCAGGGATGATACCCATCTTAGAGAGGAGGAAAGGCAGGGCCCATCCTGGTGAAGTCACCTGCCCCGGTCACTCAGCCAAGGAAGGGGCTCAGATGAAGTCTGTCTGACTCCAGACACCATCCCTGGCCTGCTCTGGCCCCAGTCCACCAGGTGGCTGCAGCTCTGTGGTGGCCCAGGCCTCCCTTGCTGATGTAGGATAAGGGATCTCTGGCTCCTGTCCCCATGTCTCGGCCCTCTTGGGTCAAATGAAGGACACTGCATTCCCTGTCCCGTTTGGGTGCCTACTGGTTACCTCTGTGCTCACTTGCCACTTGGGAAGGAAGCTGGGGGGGTGTGGGATGGGGTGAGGGGAGACCTCTGTCCAGAGTGACTGCGTCTCCTGCCCGCTCTCCCAGCCACGTGGGGCCACGGAGACATGACCCAGGAGACTGTGCAGGTGTGTCTTTTCCAGTGTCCCTGGCAGTACCGCTCTGTCCTTGCCCGTTGGCATCGAGGGCACCCGGCTCTCTTGCTCTTCCCTTAATATATTATAAAGGAGATGGTGATAAGAGGTCACGTGGGCCTCTGGGGATTCAGTGTCCCTTGCAGGTCTGGTCAGTTGTGACCTTGCTGTGGCCATGTCACAGGCAGCTGGAGATGGAATTTCTGTGAGGTCTGCTTTATGCATGTGGTCACTGGGGTGTTTTTCTTCAGCTGCCCGACTATTGGCGAGGACACTGTGTCCGGATAAGGCCCCAGAAGGGCCCTGGGGAATGTGAGCCTGCTGTCTTTGTGGGTGCTTGTTACAGGTTCCTGCTGCCCGCCAGGTGCCAGGCTGGCCATTTGCGGCCTGGCCCTGGCCCTTGGAGAGCCTGGGGGCTGTGTCAGAGGCCACAGGATCCCAGCATGGTGCTGCCTGTCCTTGGCACTCACAGGGCACCAGCCGCTGGTCTGTTGGCTGGCTTCTGGGATGCTGATATCCACTCACCTTTTCTTTTTATAGTGGTGCTGGGAATCGAACCCAGAGCCTCATGCATTCTAGACAGTACCTATGTCCTCAGCCCTCATGTAGCTGCTGTGTCGAGAGGGCCAGGAACAAGGGGCCTTGAACACGCTAAATGTTCCGGAAAGGAGTTGAAT